GCGGCGATTCGGGTGGGAGCCGGTGGAAAAGTCCTCAGCGCCAAGGAGCAGGGGTGGCCGCTTTGAAAGCCGATCCTTTGAGAGCTGGGGGTATGAAATGGGGTGGGGGAGAGCTTCAGAGCCGTACAGAGGGTGGATTTTTGCTCCCCTCTGCTCTTTGCAAGGCTGCTCCGCCTGTAACCCTTAGTCCTGGCCCGAGCTTCGCCCCCAGCTCTGGGCATGCCCCTCACGCCCAACCCACAGCCCCTCCGCTCTGCTAGCCCTGGCTCCCCCCCACCCCCGGACACACGGTGCTGGCAAAACTCCTCAGTCCTGACTCTCGGCCCCCATTCCGGGAAGGGGCGGGGGAGCAGTGAGTTGAGCCAGCGGAGCAAAGTGCTGAAATAGGGTCCTTAGGCCCTTCCAGGAAGATCCAACTGACCCTAGGCTGCAATCCAGGCTGGGAGGGGGGCGGGTGAAGTGTCCCCTGCAGTCATCACAGCAAGTGTGTTCAGAGCTGCCCCTGCTGCTGCGGACGGCCACTCCCCCAGGCCACGGAGCACAACACTTTCGGGCGATGCTCCGGCGCGGGGCCCGGCTCCGTTCCTTGGCCTGCCTGGGCAGGTGCAGGCTTGTAACTTTCAGCAGCAAACTGTGTTTTCTCAGAGCAATTGATCCTGTTCCTTTCTAGGTTCCTGGCGGTGTTCAGGCTGCCCCCACCCCAGTCCCCCGTCGTATTTCCTCTTCCCCGCTTCGTCTTGGAAAGAGACTCGGATTCCTCGGACTCAGTCAGCCAAGGCCTCTGGCTTTGCTTGAGCTTTCTCTTTCTGCCAGTGTTTCCGCTTTCCCACCCCAGCCTCCGATCCTTGGCCAGTGATTTCCACCCCCCCCACCAAATACCGCTGCAGGATGAGGCCTGGTGGCAAGAGTGGGAAGGACGGGGCATCCGGATGCCTGGGTCCGTTCCCGTCGCTGGAAGGGAGAAGGGATGTGAGAGCTGCCACGTGGGCTGGAGGCGCAGGAGCTCGTGGTTCTATTTCCCGGCTCTGCTGCTGACTCTCTAGAAACGTTCTCAAGTCCTGTTGGCTTTCCGTGCCTCAGTTTCCTCCATAAAACCATTGTCTGCCTCCTGGGGTTGGGAGGGTTAATTGCAAAGTGCTACATGTTAAGGGGGGAGGAAATCAGTGGTGCTCGCCCCATGAGCCCCCCTGGTTGTTACTCTTTGGGGCGGGTACGAAAAGTGGGGTCTTCCACCCTCTGCCTGCCTCCTGCTTTGCAAACTGGCAGCATGAACCTAAGACTGGCCGCACGGGCTCAGATCAAAGGTGCATCTAGCCCAGTATCCTGCCGATGGGAGCCAATACCAGATGCCCCAGAGGGAACGAAGGGAACAGGGAATCATCAAGCGATCCATCCCCTGTCGCCCATTCCCAGCATTTGACACCGAGGCTCGTGACAACATCCCTGCCCATCCTGGCAAGTAGCCATAGATGGACCTATCCTCCAAGAAAGTATTCCGTTCTCTTTTGAACCCTGTTGTAGTTTTGGCCTTCACACCATCCTCTGGCAGAGAGTTCCACAGGTTGGCTGTGCGTTGTGTGAAGAAAAAGTTCCTTTTGTTTTGTTTGGCATGACTAGGGGAGAAGGGAGTAAATGCAGGACAGGCTTGCCAGCAGTCAGGATGCTTGTTCTTAATTAGCTCTCCTCAGGCCCGCTAGACCTTCACAGTGCTGCGGTGTCTGGAGCTGGTTGCTGGGGCTGCCTAGCGAGGATACTGGAGTGCTTCAATGAAGCAGCTCTGGCACTCGTCTGTTTGGTTGCAATGAGTAATTCAGTTCTTTCTAGGTATGTGTCTGGCTCCTGGCCATGTCTAGTAATGGTTGGCATTGGGGCTGTGGGTATGAGTCCTCCCACCCCTCAGGTGGATCAGGGCCCCATTGTGCTGTGTCTGCACGGACAGTTCCCATCCCAAAGGGCTTAAACTAGGTAGCGTGAGCATCCCACAACCACTGTGGAGCGCCGCCGCCTCTGGGAAATAGGGCAGGATTGTGAGCTCTGTTTTGCAAATGGGGAACTGAGACGCAGAGCGTTACAGTGACTTGTCCCACATCACATACGCAGTCTGGGGTGGGACTAAGGAATTGACCCCAGATCTCCCATGTCAAGGCTTTAACCACTAGACCATCCTCCCTCTGCTGCTGCGTCCTCTTGCCTTGCAGTCAAAATGTAACATGAGCGCAGAACATTGGATGGCTTTTTCACTCTGGGCTTCTAGAGGCTGCTGTTCTAAGCCTCCCGTTGCCCCATTCCCTCCCCTGGGAAACACCCCGTGTGGGACCACAGCTGCCGTTCCACCTTTCAGCACAGCTGCCCCCCCAGTCACATGAGAGATGTGGGAAGTCTGGTGTCTGTTCCTGGCTCTGCCACTGACTTGCCGCGTGATCTTAGGCAAGCCCCTTTGCTACTCAGTGCCTCAGTTTCCCCACCTGATTGTTTGCCAGAACATTTGTATTGTGAGCAATTAGGGCAGGGACTATCCGCCACGGGTCTGTGCACTCTTCATAATGCCAGTGCCTCCATAATGCCGACTGTAATTCAGATATTTTCTTTAAACTCACTGCTGCTGTGATGTCTCCAAAACAGTGGGCTAAGGGCAGATCACTAGTGTGCTGTGAGCATTGCTTGGTACATTGCTGGTAGTTCTCTTGCTGTTACCTTGTGTTCCTCCCATGTCTTGCTATTGTGCTCTGCTGTTGTCTCCTGGACCTGGCTGGTAAGCTTTTCAGGGAGGCAACCTTCTCTTCATTATGTGCTTGACAGGGTGCTATTCTCTGATTGCCCTTCAATTACTACTAGAAGGAATAGCCCAGAGCAATATTTTTTTCTATGAGTTGGTGTTCATATAACCTATGGAACAATCTGCCACCAGGAAGTCATGCGGCCAAAACCATGTGGCTCTGCTTTTTGAATACAGTCTACGTGCTGTCTCAACAAGAGGTGTCACTCCCCAGGCTGAGATGAAGGGAGCATTGTGCGGTGGGTCCACTAATCTGCAGTTACAGATCCATCAGGGAACATTTGCTCTCCAAGACCCTACAGTAGGTGTGGTTCGTATGGATTGAGACGGTATTTGTAGCCATAAACAGGAGGCACTTGGTGAAGAAAGGAGCTACAGTTTTAAAATTAAAAAAAAAATTCTTTTAAATTAATGGAGATTGCCTATCATCGAGTCCAGTCCCCTGCCTTCACAGCAGGACCAAGTACCATCCCTGACAATTTTTTCCCCAAATGGCCTCCTCAAGGATTGAGCTCACAACCGTGGGTTTAGCAGGCCAATGCTCAAACCACTGAGTTATCATCATGCATCAACAGACCTCTACTGAGCTTGAGCACCACACCAGTTTTGTCTTCTTTGTTTACCAGGGGTTGCACTCTGCCCTGAATGTTCTTCAGCATAGGGGGCACCTAGTGGCTGATTAAGGTACTTCTAGTAAAGCAGTTGTCCCATGAAACCAATGCCTGGGTAGGCTGTGCAGTTTGGGGCAGAGAGGTCTGCACCAGCTGCTTTGTAAAATCAATCCTCGTGTTGCTGGGTTTTCCAGGTACAGAACCTGAACAACATCGTCTCCTTCCCCCTGGACAGCCTGCTGAAGGGGCAGCTGAAAGACGGCCGGCTGGTAAGCCCCCGCTCCGGTGGTGGGCACTTGATGTGGGAGGTATGCGATGGAAGGGGAGCGGAGGAAGAAAGGCTTCCACCCAGTTTGTGACCTTGCCTGGGGTGGACCCTTGTGTCTCCATCCCTTTGCCAGGAGCGGGTCCTTCCACCTACAGGGGGTTTCCTCCTTGACTGCGGCACCTCCTGCAAAGCCCAGGCTCATGCTCCTACCCAGGTGCTCTGCACGCGGGCAGCCTCCTCAGACCCGCAGGACGTGGGTCTCAGGAGATGTGCAGGAGGAAGAAGGGGAACCCCTGACCTTCCTTACCTCCCCATCCCCATGCTATGGCCTCTGCTGGGGTGGGGACAGGGACCGTGCTGAGCACCCCAGGATCTGTGCCCATGCTTATTCATTGCCAAAGGCTTTTCTTGTGTAGATGTGCACCGCCCTAGAAACACATGCCGCTGGCTGGGGGTGCTCTGCTAATCTCTCTCGGATCGGAGCTGCTGGCTGAACCTCTCTTGTAGCGGCCTCACCCCCGCTGGAGGACAGGACGGGAGCCTGGGAGGGGCTGTTCTTTCCTAGCTTCAGCTCCTAGCAGGCCCCAGTCTGCTAATGCCTGGGGTAGAGGAGTTGCATCTCCTTGTGGCTGGGAACCCGTCTCCCTCCAGCCAGATTGTGTCACAATCGGCCAGTCCTGCACTGGCCTGCGCCAGAGGGCAGCTCGGAGCTGCAGTCCTTGGGCAAGTTGTGCGTGTCCCTCGTGGCTGGGCAGGTGTGGGTGTCCCAAGGCCCAGTGCCTTGCACATCTGGGTCAAGGGGCGTGGCCTGAGAGGGCAGGGCTTTCTCCCTGGGGGTGCAGGGAGGGTCCAGGCAGCACTGTCCCTCAGGGGTGCAGGGCCTGGGACAACGCC